CTCCGGAGTGAGTATGTAATCGTTTTAAAATGTACTATCATCCCCTCAATTCCCAAAGATCAGCCAAAGCTAACGTCTGACAGGCTGAGTAACTATAGAGCTGCTCTTTCCTGCCATCTCTCTCTCTGTCTCTGTCTGTCTCTCTCTCTGCTTTATCTTTCCAAGTAACCTGAGCCTGATAGCCAGAAGCCACACATAGGACGGAGACAAAATATCCCCAGAAGGTAAAAGAGAAAATATTTACAGAATGTACAGGCCACAGATTTACAGTAAGTTGCACAGTCCTGGCTTTGCACAGGCAAGAACCCAAGCGCTCAGAAGTCCAATTAAATTGGGGTTTCTTTTCTGTCCTTGCTTGGAGATGGCTTCACTGACTCCTGGATTGCCTTTGGCTGCTCTTTCATAGCTTTTGTCTCTGGGACACTGTCTCTTGGCAGGGGCGGCTGCTGCTGCTGCTGCTGCTGCTGCATCGGGCCCCCTCGTTTCTCAAGCTCTTCCTCTTCCTGCACCTGCTGCTCCGTTTTGGCTCGCTGCATCTGCAAGAGGCGAAGCTGTACTCGCAGCTCAATGATGGCCTCACGCTCCTCATGAATCGCTTGGTTCAGATGGTTATTCTTAACCTGGAGCCAGCAAAAGGGGGAAAAAGGGCCACTTGAGCTTTATACACAGCCAGCTACTGATGGAACTAATGAATCATTAATAAGGTATTCCTCGCTGCATCTCTCTCTTGGAAGGGAGACAAGCGGGGTCTCATCAGGCAGAACAAAACAAGAAAGGAGGCACTTGGAAAATCCAGCCCTAGCAGAAGTGAGCAATTGACAATGGCAGATTCAAAAGCAAAAAAAAAAAAAAAAAAAAGATATGCTCCTGCTTTCCCCAGCCTTCCTCACAGATCTTAGGAACTGTTAATTATTTATTCATATATATATTCATTTTTTAAATGTGCTTAAAAAGAAACTTTTATTTGTACTTTTGTTGCAGGATTTATCACTCAACAGAAGTTAAGAGAGATGTGATTAATAGGATATGAAGTTGTTCCCCAGTACATATCACACCTTAGCCATTAACTCACAAGCTTTCACAGTCGCATCCATGCCAACCCCGAGATTTATTGAGTTCAGAGGGGTCGACTTTTAGAGATGTAAAGCCACACCTGCAAACTACAAAGGCCTAATTAAATAATTCCCCCTTAGCTTTCTTTCCAGCTATAATAAGGGAGCAATAATATAGATCAATTTTTCAGGCTGTCTCAAAGATGGTTGAAATAAATTAAGTATTCTACAAAGTGGTGTCATTGCTTTTGCTTTTTATATATGTCTATGTATTGTTTTCACTGCCAATTATAAAAAATTAAATTACAGAGTTTATTTCTGGGAGGCCTTCAGGTTTTCTATGACACTTGATCTATCCTAAGAATCAAAGAAAAGAATTATTTCAGTTACATGTTTTAATTGAAATGGGAAACCTCTCTCTGAACAATATTCTGGATTTCATCTAACTGGAAGAGTTTATTAAACAGTAGAGAAGCAACACGGAATGCCTTTATTGGAAAGACAGAAAAACTTTTTCAATGACAAGCTTAACCAGGAAACCCACAGAAATCTTATGAAACTTCCTGTATGAGTAACATAGATCAGTGTTGGCATTTTCTTTCTTCCAGAATGTCCTTTAAAAAAAAAAAGACTTCCATGAAAGAAAAGGACAGCATGGTAAAACAGGCTGGCAGAAATTTAAAAAGATTTAACATATTCATTCAATTATTTTTGTTTTATTATATTTCATCGCTAAAACATAGCTCAGCAATAGTATTAATTTTAAAATGAGAATTCCAAAGCCAGAATGCTGAGAAATATATTTTGGTTCTTAAATCATATGATAAACTACATGGAAAGCATTACAGGAGCCAATCTTAGTCCTATTGATGAGCTTTTCCATCAAGTATCTGTCCAGATGACATCTCTATTACAAAAGCATTGTGGACTATAAGGATATCACACTCACACTAATTCAGATTTTTGTTTAATTTATAAAATGACTGCATCAGAGCAAATATAATAAGTGCCTAAATTGTGAACAATTAATTTGCTATATTTACGTGAAAATAATACAATTCGATGCTTTAGTTTCAACTGACCATTCTTTCCATTTTTAAATTTCCTGTTTTACTGTTTGATTTAATATACAAAAAATCAGTTCTTACTCAACACTTAAAATACTGGTGCTCATTCAGTTAAACTCTGCTATTATAACAAAATCCCATAAAGAGGAGTTTTTCCTATTATTTTCTCTTATTATTTTGTTTTAAAATTATCCACAATGGTTTGATCCTGAAAACTGTTGATGCTAGTTTGCGTTTAACAGTCTGCTTACAGAAGCAACTGCTAATCAAACTGACTTCCCTCCCTGATGCAGGAATTTCTGCCCTGCAAGTCTACTGATAGAGGGAGAAGCAGGAAAATAATCCAACATCTTCACATCTAACATTGAATGGAATCCATTGAAGATTTCTTAACTCAAACTATTTATTCATAATATTTTTAATAAAAATAAATCTTGCCTGCTTAGTAAACAGGTGTCATGTTAACCTAAGTATTATATATTCCAACATTGTTTCTAATTCTTTCATCTCTTAATTCCTAAGGGTTTAAATTAACTAGAAAAGGATAAGCAGAGATGACAAGAACAATGCAAATTCTATATTAGACTGCTTAGATTTAAATTGTGGGTAATTCAGCAGACTGTACTCCAAAGTAACGAGTAAAAAACTTTACCAGAAGAAGCCTTGTTTGTTTCTATACTGCACACAGAGAACAAAATTCAGTGGTAGAGCACGTATTTGGCATGCACAAGGTCCCAAGTGGAGTCCATATCATCTCCAGATAAGCCTGGGAAAGTTTCATTTAACCAAGCTTAGTATCAAAATACAGAGCTACTTCTGGGCGGGATAGATGAATGGCCTGCCTTGATATATGACAGAATATTATGTTCTCTACAACACCACTGGTCACAGAACAATAAATTTGGAAATTTACCACAAAGCTCATCTAATCCATGTGGGAAATGTGCTGGTAAGAGCATCTGGTAGATGACCTCTTAACAAAGGAGGATCTGCTACTCCATAGTTAAGTAACTTTTAATATTACGAAGTTTGTCATTTTTGATTGAAATTTTCTTTTTTGTCATATGCTGCATCATATAATCCCATGCCTGAATAAAGAAGCCAGTGAATATCTACTGCAAAGAAAGCCACCTCACCTCTAGTTCTTCATTTTGCCGTTGCAAATCTTCTAAGATTATCTGTAACTCTTCTTCATCTTCACTCTCACTCTCACTCTCAGAAGAATATTCTTCAGTTTCACTGCGACCATGCTGGCGACTAGATGTGCAAGTGTAAATTTTGTTATCACTTTCGGCTTGGTTTGCTATACAACATTTTTCAAGCATTTTTCAATGAACATACTCCAGAACACGATTTAATGAGTTTAAATGCTCATGGACAAGAATTACAATGGGGCATAAAAGCTTTTCCCTTATAACTGTTCTGGTGAAACAATGTTTAGAATATTATTTAAATTCAGTAGATTTGGCATCATAGAATTTTGGCTGGAAGGTACTATGGAGACCACCTAGCCCAGTGATGGCGAACCTTTTAGAGACCGAGTGCCCAAACTGCAACCCAAAATCCATTTATTTATCGTCGGGTGCCAGGTGGGCTTTGCCCACTGGGTAGGCGTGGCTGTGGTGGTCATGGCAGACTGGGTGGGTGTGGCCAAGGTGGGCGTGGTCACCTCGATGTTGCTCATGGGGAGGGATGCCTGTGGGGGCTGGGCAGGGGTGGGGGAAATCCAGGGGGTTTCTGGCAGGTGGGGCGGTGGGCAGGAGGCTTGTCCTGCGGGGTGAGGCGAGGCAAGGTGAGGCAGAGCAGGGGTGCCATTGTCGCAGGGCAAGGTGAGGCAGGGGCTGGGGCAGTTGCTGCCTGACACCATCGGTCGCCGCACACAGAGGCCAGCGAGTGCATGGGGGCCAACAGTGTCCATCAGCAACCACAGTCTGCCAGCCCCTCGACTGGTGCACTCTGGGGCTTTGCAGCCCACCAGCAGCAGTTCAGAGAAGCCGCCTCTGAGCTGGACGGCCAGCCGACAGCTGAGGAGGTGATGCAGTGGGTCGTGCCCGGGAAAAGGAGAACATGCGAGGCCAGGAGGAATGGGACAGGGGGGGGGAGAGGGAAACCAGCTGTGCTGGGATGCATCCGGCCACATGGGACCTTGGTGAGTTAGCGGGCGGCTGGTTGAAGAGAGACAGTTGCCATCTCCGCGGCATGGCGCGTGTGCCCACAGAGGGCTCTGAGTGCTGCCTCTGGCACGCGTGCCATAGGTTCGCCACCACTGACCTAGCCTAAGCCCTTGCTCCTTTCAGAATCCAGAATATGCTGCTGTAATAGCTTTCGCCAACTGGATATCCTCCAGATGTTATTGCTATTATTATGACTCTTAGAACTTCCACACGAAAGGACCTTGGGCCTCAGACTTGCAATTCCAATATACGTGAAAGGTGCCAAGATGGAAAAGGCTATGCTGCAGCATTCCCTAAAAAATAACTTTGCAGGTTCGGTTTTAAATCCATTCAGGGAAGGAGAATCCAACACTTCCTTAGGCAGTCACTGCCAGCTGGAGCCTACGCTATAAGAAGCTTTCTTCTAATGTTTAACTGGAATTAGCTTACTTGCAATTTCCATCCACTGGTTAATCCTAAAGCAGAAGCTGGGTTACCTTTGAATTTCTGCTATTTCTGCTCGGAGACGATCTATTTCCTCTTTTTCAGATGCAATTTGTCGACGTAAAAACTGTTCCATTGTTAGCAGTTCTTCCTGTTCAGTCAAAATCTCATTCTCCTATCAAACATAATTAAATTATATGAGGAATTTTACTGAAATGATAAACGAATCTTGATTCAGGACATTGGGTTTTTTTCTTGGTTATAGCTTCTCATGTAGCTAATAGAAAAAATGCAAAAAAAAATGGGGAGGGATGAAGGAAAATGCAATGCCCACTGTACATATAATGCCCTTATATGCCTCTCAATATATTTTTTTAGACTGAGACATTTATTGCACATTGTACAAAAAAACTCCTTTTTTCTAGATGTTACACAGCGCATGAAACCATAATAGTGCAGGTGCCCTTCTCATGTGGTTATATTTTCATTTCCTAAACAATATATCTTGGTAGCTCCATGATAAATTGAAGCACTAGGAATCCTAAATTAGGAAGTTTGGAGGAGTAGGTGAAGTTTGTGACATAGTTTCATCTATTACATCTGGAAAAACTGGGAGGAAATTGTGGCTGCTTGCTGCAGTATGTCAGGGATTGGTTTTGGAGAACAGGAGGTTAAGCAAAACACAGAAATAGAAGGGGCCTGCTGTAGGGCGGTGAAGAACTAGCAGGGATGCTAAGATGTTATTCTATAAGGAGTTCAATCAGTGCAACTAATTTATTATTTCAAAGGGTCTTGAAATTCTGAATCTACAATTGTCCAGATTTACATACAAGAATCAGCTTTTTCAGTTATAAGTCAGTGATGAAACACATACGCTGCTACTGTTTTCAACTCCGATTCCAGATCAACTACTTTCTGTGTCAACCACAAGAATTTCATCAAGTCCCTAAGGACACTTAGAATTGGCATTATACTTGATAGCTATCACTTCTCTCTCTCTCTCTCTCTCTCTCTCTCTCTCTCTCTCTCTCTCTCACACACACACACACACACACACACACACACACACACACACGTTTGCAAGAAGAAATTATCTCTTTCGGTCCCCAACTTATTTTCAGTGTGAAGGTTAAACATTAAGAATGAGAATACTTTAAACAACAGATACTACCTGAGCCAGTAAAATATTTATAACTTCTTCATTTTCATTCATTTCTTCTTTGGAAACATCCTCCTTTGAAAGACTAGCAATTTCTCGTGCAATCTTTGTTTCACATTCCTGTATTGAAAAAATCTTGACTAATAACTCAATTCAAGGGATCATACATTAATATGCAAGAATATCTAAATTGCAACTTCTGCAGGGTTTTTACCTACAACAATATTGGGAAACTACATATATGTTATCTCAAGCTTCCTAAAGCAGCATTTACAGATCAAATCAATCACTCATTTTTATAAGGCAGAGGGTAGTTGAATGAAAATGGGTGTTTTGACTTTCCAAAAATTGATAGACCATGAATTTTTGCTGGCATATCAGCAGCAGATTTGGGCAGTGCAGCAATTAGAAAACATTCCTACATGCTGGAACATAATTAAGCAGTTCCAGGGGTGGGGAACCTTGGCTCTTTTATGACTTGTGGACTTCAACTCCCAGAATTCCTGATTAGGCAATGCCCAATAAAATACAAGGTAAATGTAGTATAAAGTAGTTATAGTCAAAGATCAAAACAATCAAACTCTGAAAACTGAAATCACATCTAGAAACCTAAAGCTTATTTATAGGAAGAACAGTCAATGGTATAGTACAGTGGTTCTCAACCTTTTTAATGCCGCGACCCCAACCGGTCGTAAGTCGAGGACTAAACCGGTCGTAAGTCGAGGACTACCCAACCGGTCGTAAGTCGAGGACTTTCCCTGCCCGGGAGCGCCACGCATGCATGGTTCCACCCCCTGCGCCGGCCGAGGCGTAGCTGGCAAGCAGCAGAGACGGAGCAGGCCGACCACCAGCTGGCCCAGCCCAAGGGAGGTAAGGCACCCGCCGGAAAAGGGGGAAAAATGGCGGACAAAAAAAATGGCGGACAGCCTTGCTTGGCGACCCCCGTGAAATGGTCGATCGACCCCAAATGGGGTCCCGACCCACAGGTTGAGAACCACTGGTATAGTAGATCTATTTTAAACAGAAACTAAACTGTGAAAATAGTATCAACAGATGATGTGAACATTACAGTAGAATCACTTAGATCCTGGCGTAGAAGCCCTGACAAAGTGCCTTTTCAATTTTTTTATCCAATGGAATCAAAGCACCAGTGAAAGCAAGAATCTAATAAAAATAAGTGGTATCAAAACTAACAAAAGCCCCATATTTTAACTATACTGCTATAAACTGGAACAATCAACATTCCATCCACACAATTTTATAAAAGAAAAGCACAAACTTACTTGTCTTTTAGCTTCTCTTAGCTTCCTTTTCAGAGCTGTCAAAATCCTCTGCACTTCCCATAATCTTTCTTCTTTGGATAAATCTTTAATCCCTACCTGAAGATCTCGGTGCAAACAGTTCAAAAGAAACTCCTAGTTTTAAAAAACAAAAACATTATTAAATATGCAGATAGTCCTTATTTAGCTACCATTACTGTGACAACAACCTGGTTGCTAGGTGGACACACACAACTGTGATTGTGCTTATGATATTTTACATCAGCTTTCCTTTTTCCCTACTCCCTTTGGAATGTTCACTATGGTGCTGGTGATTGCAAGAAGGGAATTAAAGTCTTATTTACATTCATTGGAGAGAAATTATTATAAGTAGGCACACAATATAATCAAAAGGAATGCAGTAACATCGATTGTCTACTGAGCACACTAGGTAAAATAGCCAGTTCTAGCACATTCCTTCCACTTGTATTCTAATTGTATGCCTGCTTACTCTCTTATAATCCCTTCCTGTCCAATCTGGATGGATGGATGGATGGATGGATGGATGGATGGA